CTCCCTCCGCCCCCAGGCCCCAGGGTGTCAGGCTCAGGCACGGGCTGGCCAGCGCCCACGGCGGGTGGCCTGACTGACCAGTCCAGCCGGTGTCCTGAGCTGGACATCACTGGACAACCGCGGACCCTCTCCCCCTCATTTTGACCGGCGGTCTCGTTCCCACTATGGCCCATGGCCTGGGCTCACTTCATCCTTTAAACCAGCTGGCCCTGGTCCATCCAGTGGCCTGCATTGGCCTCTCCCAGTATAACCAGCAGTCGCCAGCCTGACCAGTGGCCTAGAACAGCTTCTCCCAGTATGCCCTGTGAGCCCTCCCCTGTGGCCAGCTGCTCTCCTGTCTGACCAGTGGCCTGGAACCCACCAGTTCAATCTCTTATATCTAATAGTCTTCAAACCCCAGTTCTGCCCAGGCCTCTTTGATGCTGGGGAGTGGGGGCTGTGGGGTGCTCTTTCCTCTGATCTCCTCCTAGGGCCCTCCCTCTCTTCCCCCCATCCTGGGAATCCCAGGAATGCCACCCCCCTTCCTCCCTTTCTCTTCCCTTCACTCCCTCCCAGCCTTGGGGGGGAGGGGAAGGGAATCGGGCTGGCAGGAGCAGGTGAATGGGGGAGGGGAGGAAGCCAGGGCACCTGAGGGAAGAGAGGAGGAGCCTGGCCATGGGTCAGAAGGAAGGGTCACAGGTCAGACTTGGGATCACAGATCAGACTGTCCAAGGCTCCTCACAAGCCAGGCCTGACTGGGACCAAATCCCCAGATGCTGGCTGCAGGGAGGGAGATGTCACTGGTTACCAGGGAGAAGCTAGCCCTGGACACTGTTCGGGATAGGGGATGCTGGTCATGCTGGGAGAGGTTACCCAGGCCTTTGATCAGATCGGGGTGGGTGGAGGTGGCAGAGGGTCATTGGTCAAACACCAGGGAAGGCTTAGATTACAGGTCAGCCTTGAGTTATAGGTCAGATTGGTAAAGGCTACTTTGTCCATACAGGAGAGCAATTGTTATAGAGGGACAGGTGATCTTTTAGTGTTAGCCACACCACCCCCTCCTCCAGGAAGTCCTCCCTGATCTCTTAGGCTGGGTCAGGTGCCCTCTCTGAGCTCTCCAACTCCAGCTCTTCCCACACTGGGTCATCGCTCTGGGGACTGGATCTGGGCTGTGAGCCAGTAAGGGCAGGGCCAGGGCTGTTTCGGTCACTGTTGTGTCCCCAGCACTGCCCAGCACAGGCCAGACACAGAGCAGGCACTCAGGGAAGGTGCGCAAGGCTCAAAGGCAGGAGCACACAGGCTCACCTGCAAATTCCACCCAGGCTGGCCGCACATGCATACTTGCTCTTGGACCAAAGCACTCCCTGGGACCAGCTTACACACAATGACCCCAGGCACCTGCTGCCCAGCTCTTCTGGCCCTGGCTCGCTAGTGCACCTACTGCTTGGGCTGATAGGCACCCTCTCATCAGCACCCCCTTTCCACCTTCCTCAAGAAGCCAACCAGATGAGGATCTAGGTGAGGGAGGACTATATGACATGTGTAGGAAGCAGGGAAGTCATAAATACCAGCACAGTTCCTCTGTCCATGAGGACTTGCCGAAACTAGTACTGAAATGTCGTCTGCCTTTGTCTTCTACAATTCATCTCCACAAAACAGCCAGAGGGGTCCCATTAAAATGTGAGTCAGCCCCTGTCACTCTTCTGCTCAGAACCCTTGCATGGCCCCTCTCACTCCCAGTAAAAGCTGGAGTCCTCTCCATGGCGCACAAGGGCCTTGATTCGTTCCTCATGACTCTCTGACCCCATCTCCCCCGCTCTTCCCCAACTAGCTAGCTCTGCTCCTGCCACCCAGGTTGCTTTGCGTTTTTGCTGTTCCTCCAATGCCAGGCATCTTCCAGCCTCAGGGCCTTTGCACTTACTCTTCCGTCTCTTGGGACATTCTTTCCCGCCATAGCTCCCTCCCTCACTTGCTTCAAATTTCTACTCCATCACTTCATCACAGGGCTTCCCTTGACTATCCTATCTAAAATAGCAACTCCTGCTATCCCCACCACTCTTTCCTTCCTTTGTCTTACTACATTTTCCCTCCATGGTACTTATCACCACCATATATTTATTTTTTATTTTCTGGCACAGAACAGAAGCTCTGAGAGAACAGGAACTTTGTTTGGGTCACCACTGTATCTCCAGTGCCTAGAACAGCGCTAGGCATGAGGAGCTAGGCAAGTGTTTGTAGAATCAAGGAATTTTCCAGTTCCATCTTTGCCGCCTCAGATGGAGATACAGATACATTTTCATTAACACGTTCTATCTTTTCTCTGCCTCCATCCTGTTATCTTACTTACTGTGTGAGACTTTTTGGGGGGGAGAGTTGGCTAGCATCTGTACCCACTTCCCACATTTAAAAAAATCTGTGCTCTCTGAAAGCCCATGGTCCTCTGTTGAAACCAAGAAGGACAGATGTTTGCTTTCCTGCCTCCATTGCAGCTCAGGTGACCTAAGTCTGGCGAATCCTGCTTCGCTTGGAATCAGGTGCTCACGATGCCAAATAAACAGGGAAGGGCAAATCTCTTGCTGCTCTGGCAGCGGGAATGGATTCTACTTTCTAAAGATGGCTGTAACCATAGCTCTCATCCCGCGTGCTCTAGGACAACCTGATCTTGACACTCTTTCCACTGAGAGGTGGGATCTGTGTCCCCTCCTCTTAAATCCGTGCAGTTTTGTGACTCGCAGGTCACCATTAGAATGAGGCAGAAGTGACAATCCATGACTCCCAAGATTAAGTTGAAAAAGCCATGTCGCTTCTCCCTGGGTCACTGTAGCAGTCTCCAGGAAGCCTTCAGCCTTCATACAAGCAGTCTGACTTGTTTGGGACAGCCATGCTGTGGGGAAGCCCAGACTAGCCAATGTGGGGACCACATGGGGGATGCCTGCCCAGCCCCCAGCTGCCCTGCTCCAAGCATCACTCAACTGCACCCTGAGCCACAACCACCCAAATGATCCCCTCCCCAAATCCTGGCCCACAGCAACCACGAGAGATCATAACACGATTGTTGTCATTCACCATTAAGTTTCGGTGTGCTTTGTTCACTGAGCAGTTAGAAGACACAGCTTGTTTCTGGGGCAGCAGAGGCAGTGAGATGACTGGTGTCCAGTGGTCACTGAGGCACCAGCGTAACCTTATTAGACCAGTTTGGTGGTGTGATCGTGGCTGGGCTATGGTTGGAGGCCAGCTGCCAGTGTTCTTGATGACTTTCCAATCCTGGTTCTCTAATCACTCCTGGGAATCTGTGAGTGATCCTAAGTCCTCTCAATCAATTCCTTTCCTACCCCAGAGGAGGCTTCTGTTGCTTGAAACTAAATTTGTGACGCAGGCTTCCATGCTCTGTTTACACTGAAATACCTTTTCTTTATCTTTTCAGATGCAGCTTGTACATCCCCTCCTCCTGGAAGCCCTCCCAGATCTCAGAGGCTGGGTCAGCTATCGGCCCCAGGCTCCTGCAGCTCCCTGGGCTGCTGCCCCCATCCCGGCTCTGCCCACTCTGTGTCATCGTTTGGGGACAGGACTGTGAGCCCCAGGAGGGCAGTGGTCCCTGCCATGTGCTCAGCATTGTCCAGCCTGGGGCTGGGCACGGGGTAGGGGCTCAGAGGTGCCAACTGGTTTACACTCAAGTGGAGGGAGGCTCGGGTCCCTCCGGGATTGGTGATGAGGTGGGGAGATACTTCCTCAGCTTGTCTTGGACAAGTTCTACTTGTCAGCTCTACTCTGGGAGAAGGATCCCACCGAGGAATGGAGCAAAGAGAGGGATGAGAACAGACTCTGGCAAGACCAGATGATAACTCTCAAGGAAATGTGGGGACTCAGAACTCGGATATCTGGGTTTGGGTCCAGGGAATTTTTTTTTTTCCATGATGGGGGAAGGGAGTTGGATGCCCGATTCTCTGAGAATTGAGACTCTGGATGCCTAAGTCCTGAGGGTGGGACTCCTGGGTCTGAGGGAGGAGGGATCTTGGGGCCTAGACTCCTGGATCCAGAGGAGCAGAGTCCCTCACTCTTGGCTCTCTGAAGAGGGACACGGCTTGATCAGGTGGGGATCAGGCCTCAGGGACCGCCTCTTCCCGACACCAGGCTGCCCCTTGGTGGCTGCTACACTTCATCTCCACACACCAGAGGACAGACCAGGCTTGGCAGTTTATTTCCGCTTGAGGAACCCCTTCAGCCCCTGGGGCTCCCTTGAGCAGCACATCTTGGTGCCCTGTGAGGCGGAAAGAGACGTGGTTTAGATAATTTAGATAGTATCACATCCAGGTGGCATAGGGCAGGAAGGACCAGGCTGAGGGAAGGACCCTGGGCGGGGCGGGGACCTCACCTGGCATCTAGGCCTTCGTGGGTCCCTCGGGGCAGCTGGAGAGGGGACTCTCCCTTTAGGAGTTTCTGCAGTGGGGAGAGTTGGTGGGGGGGCTGTTGATTTCCTAGGACCAGTGTCCTCCTGCCGCCCCCACCCCCTCTTCTCTCAGACCTAGGAGTCCTGGACCCCAGCTGCCCTCTCCACTTACTCTCTAGCTCCCTCCCTGGCCTGGGGGCTGGAGGTGACTTCCCATGGGGCTGAGGCCACAGTCCAAATTCTTGGCAAGGTAAGAGGGGCCCGAAGTCTGGGGAGGGCCAGAGTCGCCTGGAGGGGAGGAGATTAAGAAATTTCACAGCTGAGCTGCAGCTGAGCTCCATGTCACAGGCCCCGACAGGGGTAACACAGTGGTGGTGGTGGCGGGGAGGGGAATGGCAGGGTCTTGTCCCCAGTCCATGCTGCTTTTTTCCCCAACACCTCTGGCTTGAGTGGAAAAAAGTTTTGTTTTTCCATCTATCCATTAATCCATCCATCTGTCCACTCATCCATCCATCCATCCACCCATCCATTCATCCATCCATCCACCCATCTACCTATTCATATACCCACCCACTCACCCACTCATCCACCCACCCATCCATCCATCCCCTTTTATCCCCCATCCATCCCCTTTTATCCCCCATCCATCTGTCTGTCCATCCATCTATTCATCCACACATCCGCTACCCATCTCTTCATTCATTCATTCATCTCACAAATTTCCTGAGCAGCTACAGTGTGTCAGGCACTGTTCTAGGCTCTGAAGAGACAGCCACGAACTGTCTGAACTGACAGAAAAAAAATCTCTGTCCTCATGGAGCTGATAGTCTGCTAAGCAAGGGGCTTACCGTGAGTAATCAGTGCATAATAAGGAAATAGCCTGGAGAGTGTTAGGTGTCCTTCAGAGGATGGAAATAGTACAGGAGGAGAGAGGGGATGATGAGACGTGAGGGTGGCTGGGGAAGGCCTCTTGGAGGAAGGGGAAACTGAGCAGAAGCCTGAGTGCAAGAAGGATGCAGGCAGAAGTGCCCAGAGGGTGGTGGGCTTGCTGGCTTGTTAGGAGAACAGCAAGGGGTCCATCGTTGCTGGAAAGGAGCTGAGGGGGTGGTAGGAGGTCAGAGAGGTGGGTAGGGCTCAGATCCCCAGGCCTTGTGGGCTGGTAGAGAGGACTTTGGCTTTAATTCTTGAGCCCTGGGGTCTTGGGGGCTTCTGAGAGGTGAGGGAGGGGATCTGATTCAGGTTACAAATGCCCAATCTTGCTGACTTCCATCAAAACCCATGGAGCCCGTGCCATGCTTGTCTGCATTTTCCACATGGAGACACCAAAGAGGGGAGAGGTCCCCAGAGGCCACAGCGAGGTGCCTGGGTCCCGCTGAACCATGGTGTCACTCCTAGTGGGGGGTTTCTCTGCTGGTGTGGGAGCAGGCCCAGCGGGGGATTCATCCAGTGCCCACAGCGGCCCCACATGGCAGGGACTGACATCACGCCCATTTTACAGACACGGAAATCAAGGATGAACTCTGGAGTCTGGAGCCAGGGGCCTGGGTTCCAGTCCTGACTCTCTCACTTTTGAGCTGGGAGACCTTCACATCCCGTAGCTTCAGTGGACCCCTCTGTATAATGGGGATCATAATAGCACCTACGTCATCAGGTTGTCATGACAACTAAGTGACTACATTAAACAAGCAGCACAGACATATAGTAACAGTGATAAACGCATTAGTTCTTCTCATTACGACAGTCACCTTTCTGGGAAGTAGCACACTCAGCGGCCATCTGGCCAGAGGGGCCCCATCAGCCTGTGACCCCCTCATTGTCCTCAGGGAGCCTTGAGTGCCTCTGAATGTTTCCATTTGTTTTTGGCTGCAGGTCGGGATCTGTTTTTAGCTTCCCTGGCTGGTGTCACCACGCCCCGCTCCCGCCCCCCTCCTTCCTGCTGGCTCTCCTGTTTGCTGTGGTCGAATAATGTTCCTGGACTTCCTGAGCTGTTTGTTTGAAGACTGCCCAGTATCGATTGGATCTGGTGTGTACTCAGCCTGAGATGCTAACAGAGAACTGCCCCTCCCCAGCCAGCCAGGGGCTTGGAAAACCCTAGGGTTTCACCTAGAGGGTGGGGGGAGACATAAAAACAAGGATGGGGCTCACTTAGAAAGTAAGCAGATGATTTGGGGTTTTTAAGATTTCTCTTTCAGGCTATGTGTTTGGGCAGGTGCAATCCCCTCCCTGAGCTTTTTTCGTCTGGAAAATGAGGAGAGGAACATTCAGACTTCATAGGGCTGTTGGGAAGACTCATTTGATTGAGTCACTCAATGTCTGTTTATTAAGCACCTACTATGTGTCAGGCATGGTTCATATGACAGAGAATAAAGCAATGTCCTAACCTTCAGGAGGGTTACAACCTGCTGACAGTGACAGGAAACAATAGACTGTAACACTCTGTCAGCTGGCGGAAAGGACTGAGAAGGCAGCTGACAGGGGCTTGGAGGGACAGGGGCCACTATTTTCAACAGGGTGGTCTGGGAAGGCCTCCCTGAGGAGCAGAGAAAGCGAGTCTGGAGAAAGGAGATCCAGGCAGCGGGAACAGCTTGTGCAAAGGCCCTGGGGTAGGGCATGCCTGGGATGCTGGAAGGAGAGCCAGAAAGCCAGTTGGGGGAATAAGTAAAGGAGACGACAAGAGAAGAGGCTATAACAGTGTGGATGTACATGGCACAGCCCCTTGTAAGTGGGTGCAAAGAATAGGTGCCTTGCCTGCAGCCCGAGTGCCAGACCAGGGGTGCCAGGGATGACCGAGACCCAAGCCACCCACCTCAGACCAGTGCCTGACTCACCACCTTCAGCTGGCATTTGCTGCTGGGATTCCTGGGGAACAGATCCAGCCGAGGGGGCAGAGGAGGAGCTGAGGTGGCCCCCTAGGGGAGACAGAGGGTGGGGAGGGGGTTGTGAGCTGCCATTTTCTCTCGTCTCCATGTCCCCCTAGCCTTCAGGCATTCTTCTAGGCCTTGGAGATAGGATGGCGAATGAGACAGAGTCCTAAACCTCAGGAGGGTCACAACTGGAGAGAGCCACAGCCGCGACCCCAGGGGAAGCAAAGGTCTAGGCCCCTAAGACCCCGGTATCCTGTCACCAAGCCCCCTCCTCTCCTAGGCCCCAGGATCCAGGCCCCCAGCCCCTCCTCCCTCAGACCCAGGAATTCCAGTTCCAGCTCCTGCCTGGCCGTGCTTACCTGCTCCAGCTCCTCCTCCCCATCTTCCCCATCACTGCTGTCCCCTGAGTCCTCAGCAGTGGCACTGGTGTCCTCTGGCCTCCCTTGGGATTGATGGATACTCACAGCCTCTTGGCCCTTAATCTCGCAGCGGCAGAAGGGGCAGGTCTGGCTGTCTGATTGCTGGGGGAGATGGGCAGGGAAAGGGTCAGGATCTCTCTGTTTCCCACCACGTGCCCTGGGACTACATCCCCAACAGAATGATGAGGGGAGGACAGCTAGAGGGAGGGAAATTGAAAGAGAGAGGAGGAACTATGAAGAGAGGGCGATGGAGAGAGAGATGTAGGATGGGAAGGAGGGACAGGACCAGAGCCCGAGGTCAGGAGGAGCTGAGGGAGGCAGGGTGCATTGTGGTCTCAGCCCCGCAGTAGTGATGCTGTTGGCTAGGAATGCCTGAGGCCAATGTCTGGCTGGACCAGCCCTTTGGTTCTTATGACTGCAGAGCTCCCCTCAGCACCAACCATTAGGGAACTTTAAAGAGCGAGATGAATTACTCACAGGTCCTGGAGGCTGCGGGAGGTCTCTACCTCAGAGAGCGGGTGGAGAGAAAGGGAGGGAGGGGGGCGGACCTGAGGCTCTGCCTTTATTAGGGGCTGAGCAGGGTGCCTAGGTTTTCTGAGGTTCACTCTTTATTGGCCAATTTAAAGCAGAAGAGCCAGAATCAGGATATGGGAGGTGAGAAACGGGGCCACTCAAATGGTCAGTTATCCAAAGCTTTCTAAAGGGACCCTGCAGGGGGGAGGGTGTAGCTTAGGGGTGGAGCACATGCTTAGCCTGCACGAGGTCCTGGGTTCAATCCCCAGTACTTCTATTAAAAGGAAACTTCAGGGGTGAGAGCGGCCTGGTCCCTTATCTAGTTGTTCTGCTAGTCGCTGTGTCATTGAGATGGATGTCTTTGATGTGGATGCTCCACAACCAACAACTTAATGTCAAACACTTACATTACAATTGAAAAGCTTAGTACCCGACACCTGTAATCCACAGGGGCTCCCTTTACCCTGAGGCTTCTCCAGCCCAAGCCTTAGCTTTGTAGGCCTGGATCCTCCCTTGGGAGGTTACTCCCATCAGCTCATCTCCTGAGAAGGCAGCTAAGGCTCAGAGAGGTGAAGCCACTGGCCCCAGATCACCCAGCAAGGAAATGCAATTGACTAGGAATGCCTGAGGCTGTATTAATTGGAACCAGCCTCACAGACACCCCCTCTCACACCAGGGCCAATGTCGTGGCATTTTCAACTAACAGTGTGACTGCAGGAGAAGCCGAGGTGACAGATGCAGAGTGAGCCTCTGCTTTCCCTGGGCCTCAGTTTCCCCACGTAATGAGTGAGGCATCTGGGCGAGTGTCTGGGGGCTTTTAAGGCAGGGCGCGGGGACCGGGTCAGATCTACCTGCCAGGCAGCCAGACAGCGGCCACAGAGCAGGTGCCCGCACGGCTCAATCTTCACGTCCTTGTTGCTCTCGGTGCAGATCTTGCAGAGCTCAAACGTGGAGTCCATGGCCCAGTACAGCTGCAGCTGCTCCTGGCAGGCGAGACGGGGATGCCGGGAAGGAGTGCTGATGTCAACCACTGGGATACAAGCCGGGTCACAAAGTCTCAAACCTCTGCACCAGCCCTGGACGCTCTCCCAAGTTCAAGGCCGGGTGCCCAACTGCCTCCTACTTGGGCTTTTCTTATGGACTCGTTCTTGGGGGTGGTCTACACTCAGGGATGCCAGATTCAGCCAATAAACATACTGGATGCCCTGTTCCATTTGATTTTCAGATTAAATGATGAATACGTTTTTAGTATAAGTGTATCCCAAATATTGCACGGGATATAATTGTACTAAAAAAAACCCCCGTATTTGTCATTGCTTTCACTGCGGGATGGCTGGAAGGCCAGGAACTGGCCCAGGGGCTGCCCCCGGTGAATGCGCAAAGTGCATTAGCTGCTCCGGTGAGCTCAGCAGTATCATTTCCTGGTTTAATCCCCACGAAAACCCCTGGGTAGGAGGCAGGAGGAGCTGTGTTTTCCAGAGGAGGAACAGAGAGGCTCTGAGAGGCCAAGTGATACACTTCAGGTCACGTGGCCACCAAGCCAGCACAAAACTCCCCGCCTCCAGGAGTCCAGGGCTGAACTCCGATGGAGAGGATTCCTGAGCCACGGTGAGGTGAGGTGAGGCGGCGGGTGGGGGGGTGGCATGGGCAGGGGTTAGGGGCCCAGGCCTGGGCCTCACCTCTGACACGTGGATGCGCTGATAGGTTTCCATCCGGTAGAGTTCAGTCAGGTCCGGGTTGTGGTTCTTCCCATCTGGGTAGAGGTAGCTGGGTGGGGGAGGCAAGAGAGGGTTGCCGAGGGGCCATCCCGCATTCACTGCCCGGCCACAGAGCATCTGCCCCAAACACACTGCTAGCCTGGGGCTATTTTCCCTCCCTTCTCCTCACAGTGGGACTTTCTAGGGCAAGCTGTGTCCCCTCAAACCC